CCTGAACGTGCATGGTTTTCTGATGCACAGCGTCATAACAAATCGCGGCGTGGTTGATGACGCGTGTATCCACGGCGCATAGAACCAGGTTTTATGGCCCAAACAAGGTGGATCTATTACAATTTGTTCGGTTATAGCTAGCCCGACGTCATATCAACACCGTCGCCGTACCATCCTGGTCGGCGGTTTCTACCTTCTAGGCCTAGCGCTACCCGACCCTGAGACATTATATTTCTGCCAACGGGCGTATCAGTCGCTCTCAAACCTGTGTACGTAACAAGCTGCGCGGCGTGCTTGGATTCAAGTCCCGCTCGAGGCGGTCGATCATACCAGAAACAATACGCTCCTCCCAGCGCGATTAATCGACCATGGCGCAGCTCTGGTGGAGTGATCCCCAACTCGAAAAAAAAAAAATGAAAAACTCCGCGACCGCTTCCCGCCCCGAAAATTTTCGCCAAACAATCCCCGGCGGATCAGATGACCCCGGATACACTCAGGTCCTGTACATCACCAAATTAATCAAGTGTCGCGGTAGACCCTAGCGACGGCGCACGCGGAGGGCGGAAGGCGCGTGAGAATGCCCGGACGTAGGCGGAAAGAACGGCGCGGGTAGATCCACGTTCGGGGAAACCGCTCACCTCACAAAAAGCGTCGGGAGCCGGAGCGTGGAGCGCACCAAAAAAGCGGCGGCCCCGAATATTTTGGGCGTTGGGTAAACTCCCTAATCGTGAATGCATCTGATGTTCGCCCCCTATCCGCCAATCCAGCGGGGCGGGAACAACGTGTTTGACCCCGCCATGTCCGGACCGTAGCCCGCCATTGGGTCATGTGGGGGAACCGCCTCGAGGCGCATTGAAGCGCTTGATGGTTCTCGGCCAGCCGCGTGTTTCCGGGCGCATGGTGTCGTCATTGCCGAGCGCGTTTATCGCCGCAGCCATGTTTGCATGCCCAAATAGAGTGCGTAAATCCGGCTCCCGGTTCCGGTCTGGACCTGTCTGTAATTAATAACCATAATTGACTCATTTTCGTCTCCGGGCCTTGTATATGCAAAGGCGTACCTGTAAAGCAAGCTTCTTAGCGCAGTGGAAGCGCGCGGGGCTCATACCATTATCTAATGGCTTGTTACCCCGAGGTCCTCGGATCGAGACCGAGAGAAGCTACTTCTTTTGTCACTTTTTATTTCCCCACCTGCAGCCAAATCTTAGAGCAAGCGCATGTAGGCTGGCTAGGCTAGAGTGATGAATGCTCTATCATTTTTTGAAATCAACCGCCGAGCCCATGACTTTATTAGTTTTACCATGGGGAAGCGGCCAATGGGAATTGGTTTTAATCGGGATAGGAACTGGTCATGCATTCATTAGCCAGTGTCCGTTTATTCAGCGCAAGTAAACGGGCCACTCGTTTCTTTCAGACACAAAAGAATGTGTTAACAGCTATGTCTCAAGTCTTCTTGCCTATTATTTACCAACCCATCCGAATACAGGTCCTAGAGCTCGTCCAAGTTGAACCAGCATGTGCTCGGTGTTGGCCCGTGTTTAACGTATGGCAGATACCACCCCACTCGACACTCGGGGATCGCATTTCCGCTCTTTCTTCCCATCTCCCCGTTTCTTAGGGCTTCAGCTTCGGAGCGCCGGCATTGTAGGAAGTTTCGCTTGGTTTAACAGGTGTAATCCACGCATGTAGTCGCTACTCGTAGCAACGCCAGGCTTATCTATGAGACTCACTCTACTGTTCGTATTACGTTGATCAATAAATCAAGAATTTCAGTCGTATCTTCCTCGAATTGACATTTATTCTCAACACCTCGAAATCGACGCAATTTCAGTGCGCCAGCGCGCCATCGATGCCCTTATTCCACCGAGCAATCCCCGCAAAAGCTCAGAAAACTGAGCTCACCCATCAACCAAGGCCTGGAATGTGCGCCCTGGCCGGCCGGGGGAGGACCTGCGTTCTTTCCCCACGTTGATAGTCGAAGAAACTGATGAGTACCCCAGAGGGTAAATCTCTAGATGTATGCTCGATCTACGATTCTGGAACATGCGTCCTAACATGTGATAACCTCCCCACAACCGACTCGAAAGCGCGAGGCTCAAGGAGCGAGGGGAGTCGTTTAAATCGATTTTTCAGTCAGGCGCAAGGCCTGGCGCTTCAGTGCGTGACTAGCAGAGTCGGATGACGTAATATTCCACGCACCTCCACCGGACCATCATACCCGGTTGCTCTACCTTTGCATTCAGACAAACCACATGGTCAAGTTGAACATGCCGTCTTCGGGTTGGCTCGATCCTTCTCTGTAAGTTTATATCCACTTATCTTGTATCCACCTATTTACCTACTCTTGGGTAGGTTTCCTGCGTATGCGGTCGCCGCAACGGCCGTGTACTTTATCGGCCGCTATGTCGATAACAATTACATCCGTCCACCTTCCAAGACAGGATTCGGAAAAGGAGCGCCCGGCTTCCAGACAAGCGTCAAAAAAGTCGCAATCACTCCCGAGTTGGCAGAGCGGCTCAGAAGGGGCGAAGAGGTAAGCCCAATTCTATGCTTGGCTTGAGAAGGCAATGCTGGTAGAGGACGTCTGTGCCTGGTGGAAGCTGTTACTCTTGCTGGACACGATACCGCTTCCAACGTATATTCTGACATGCGATCTCGATCGTTTTGTAGGTAACTCCCGAAGAAATAGCTGCGGCTCAAGCCGAGGCTGAGAGGAATCCGGCAGTGACACTACGCAGGCGCGAGATCATCGAGCGTGACGATCGAGTGCAGACCACTGATGACAGTGACCGAGAACCAGACACTCGAGGCGGCAAGAAGGCGCGACGAGCGGTTGAATCCGGAAACGAGTGGATACCCGAGGGTCATTTGAGACCACAGGGCAGGAGCAGCACACCCAGAGGCAGGAGGAGAAAGTAAACAGCGGTTATATGATTTAGTCATGTCCTACGGCGCTCTGAGCTAAAAATATCATGACCAGGTGGATGGGTGATATACCAAGTATGTAAGCTAATACATGTGATCTACACTCCGATGCCTTCGGTGGCTTGGTATTGTGGTGGCGCTCCCCTTACTCGTTCTAGTCTGCGCGCAACGAGCGCCGCCAGGCGTTCCAGTTCAGGCGCGGACAACTGCTCAGCACGTTGCTCCAAGGTTCGCTGGTCTTGGTCCTGTGTCGTTGGTGTGGGTAGTGCTTGTTCGGTTGCTTCCGGCAATGGGGGCACCGCACTCTCTCTGTTCTTAATCGTGCTGGGCCAGCCCATAGCGGCTCCATCGTGTAGCTGAAGACGGCTTCTTGGTGCGTCTGTAGCAGCGTTTTCGTTCGTTTCCGTGCTTGTGGGCCGCATCACACTTGGCGCAGTTTGATGCGCTTCACGGGTCACAATTCCAGACCGAGGCCTTGAGCCTGATTGTTCTTCGTCTAGTAGGTCGAATGCTGAGATCGAGCTGAGTGGAATGTGTAGTTGAGGCTTTTGACGGCGCCTATGGCGAATGAAGCATATGCCTAAAGCGATGCACAACAGAACTCCAAGGAGCGAACCTAGTACTGGTCCTAATATGCGACCCAGACTGGAAAATCTAAGCAATGTGTGAAGAACGGGGCGCTGAGCTTACCTGGTAGGAGCGGAACTTGACGATGCAGTTGGAATCGCTGCACTAGGAGCTGCACTGGTAACTCCACGAGCTGTCGTAATAAAAGAGGACACCGAGGCAGTGGCCGAGACTGATATTGCACTGATGACACTCTATCGGGTTGTTAACTTCTATATCAGAGTCTATTCCAAACTACTGACTTGTTGAAAGCTCTGCAACACTGTGCTTAGAACGCTTTGGGACTGGAAACTTGGTTAATTGGGTTGTTAGTGGTTGCTCCAAGTGGGTATCGCCCACCTGGGAAAGTCCGACCGCATCAGCAGAAGTCGTGTTGAGGCATGAAGAATCTGAAGAAGGTAAAACTACAAAGTTTCCACCTTGATGCCGAGTTAGTCGAATCTTCCTCGGGTGAACCGACCAAACTTACGGGATGTGGAAACCCAACCAGTGCTGTCTTTTAAAACGAGCTCTAGCCTAGAGCCTATTCTCCTAATTGAGCTGGAATAGAAATGCATTGAGAATTGCATGCTTACCGGCTGGTGCAATGCACGGGACCAAAAAATTGGTACTAGTTATGTTGAACCACGCCCCCAATCCGGGAACGGTATTCGCGCCATCAAAGGCACTCCTTCTGAACCAGACGGAGTATGGGGGCGACCCATCATACCACTTCAGTTCCATAATCATGCATTGGTAGGTGTAGGTTGGAAGATCAATGTTCGGTATTGT